TGGTTACATGAGTGCATCCCTGCAGAGCTGGTCTTAGGGGCAGGTGAGCCGGGAGGTTGCCTGGGGCCGCCATTTTCAAGGGGCTGCCGACAGAGCCAGTGTGAGGGGTGGCCCAACCTCCCGAATCTTCCCCCAGGTTTCCCTGGTTACTCCCCAACTGTTTTTTTTTTTGCTTGACAAATTTTCGTCCGGTATTTTTTTTTAATCCATCCGGCAACCTTACGGGTGAGCAAGGTGGTCGGTTAGGACTGGCCCTGCCTGGATCTAGCTGGACTCGGTTGCATCGTTCCACATTCATCCCTCAGTTGCCAGGTGACTAGCATCCCCTGTGCATTTTGCCTTCCAAAGCCACCCGGTCCCATTTCTAAGTAGCATCCACCACTGACCGGTGCTCAGGGAGTAACCAAGCCAACCCAACGTGGACTAGAACCTAGCCCTAACCCTAGGGTTAGGGTTAGGGTTAGCAGCCTAGCAGTCCAGGGACAAGTGGCCGTCACTTCATTCATCCTGCCAACAACATGCCCCTGCCTCTTAACAAAGCAGCAAATCAACATCACGAGGAATCTTAATATAACACGACTTCCCAAGGGTCATTCCGTAGGACGCGTTTGGGCTCTTGGGCGGCGTTCCCTGCAAGCTGAGCACGTGGGTAGTGGCCCAGGAGAGATTCAGGTGCTGCCCTGCTGATTAGCAAAATGCCCACAGCCGGCAATCTGTGTGTCTCCTGGTGGTGCACATCCACACTTGCCTCAGTGCACGTAACAAAATTTATTCCTCACGTGGATGGAAAAATGGAGAGGGAACACTGCTCATAGGTGCACCCTTATTCATGTGCCTCTCCTACGCTGTTTTTTCCCTCCTACCTCTCCTCCCTGGCACATGAAGCTTTTGCTTGTTACATTCTGGGGTTCATGAATTTGCCAGCCATCAGAAGCCCTTTGGAGAGCTGGGAATGGCTCTGAAACTGTTGCAGGCATCGCTGCAGCACGTCAGGGTCATGTCTACATTGCAAGCCACATCTCCAGAGAATCCAGGGCGCCAGTCTCAGAACACAGGCTGGGGTGCTAGACCAGGTTTTGGAGTGGGGGGGGGGTGGTGCCGCATCCCCCTTTCCCCTGTCTGTATCCCTCACCATCCCCTAGAGCTGGCACCAGCCATCAGGATCCTGCATGTGGGGCCCGGAGGGGGAGCCCCTGGGCATGAGACCAGTAGCAGAACCCCCAGTCGGGATCCCAGAGCTGAGCAGAGCATGGGGCTGGTGGCCTGCTGGGGCACTGAGGGCTGGGGGCAGAGCTGA